CTCAGTGGGATTCGAACCCACAATCCCGGTTTCCAAGCAAGCGAAAACAGTACATGCCCTAGACCGCTCGCCTACCGTGACCGTCTTTATCCTTCTTTATGGTAATCATCCAGTAGATTCACATCACCAGCACAGACCAGCAGCTGATGTGTCCCATTAAATTTTAGTCCCACCTGTTTTTCCTAGACCTTCCTAATGGCATATTCTGAAACAAAGTTGAAAAGGAATAGCAATAAAGCATCTCCTTGTTTTAGACTATTCTGGATAGGCAACTGTTTACCTATATGGACTTAACTATACTTTTGGTTTAAACACATTTAAATCAGCCTAACAAGTTTCGTGGGTATCACAAAACTGTATTAGAATATTGTACAATATTTCCTTCCTAACTGAATCATAGGATTTCTTGAAGTCTATGAATAGCTGATGTACTGTCTCATTGTACTCCCATTTTTTCTCCAATATGTGACAAATGCAAAAGATCTGATATGTAGTTGATCTGTTATGTCGAAACCCACACTGATGATCCCCAATAATTTCATCAATGAGGATATATGGGCTTAACCCTGAGAGAAGAATATTGGATAAAATTTTGTATGAAGTTGATAGCATTGACATACCCTGATAATTATTACAGTCAGTTTTATCACCCTTCTTTTGAATTGGTACAATAATAGACTCCTTCCACTGATCAGGCAGTTTTTCCTATGCCATGTGGATCTTATAACATAATATTTCGCCTCTTGCTTGAGTAAATACTGCCGGATTTTGATCACTACCTGGCGATTTATACCTTTCCAACATTGCAATAGCACTTTCAACATCAAATGGGCTAGGATCAGATATTAACGGCTCAGCTGTATGTATTTCTATCTGCTTAACATCACTGACCCTATGCATGAGGGGCAGTCAAATGAAAATGGTTCAGAAGTCAAAACATATTAAAGAACATTTCTTACCTCAAAAGTAATCTCCAAAACTGTTAATACATTTATCCCACTCAGAGATAATATGGCCAGTCTCATCCTTGAAACAGCTTGTGGGCTGTCTACAGAACCACATCTTTACCCAGCCACACACGTCTTCATCCGATGCAAACTGATGTCCATGAATGTCTCTCTCTTCAGGTCTCCAAAAGTGTGAAAATCACATGCGGAGAGATCTGGGCTGTAGGGGGAATGTTGAAGCACTTCCCAACCAAATCTCTGTAGCGTATTCCTCACAGAGTTGGCAGTGTGGGGGCACGCATTTTCATGAAGAAAGATAACGCCGTTCGATAGCATTCCAGGGTGTTGTGACTTTATGGCACGTTTCAGTTTCTGCAGAGTGTCTTCATAGCGCTGTGCACTGATTGTGTCCCCATGCTTGAGAAATTCGACAAGCAGAGGGCCCTTGCAGTCGAAGAAGAACGTCATCACTTCGGAATTTGTATGTATGGCTTTGGATTTCTTTGGTGGGGGAGAATTCATGTGTTTCTGCCGTTTGCTCTGGGGTTCAAAATGGTGGCACCAAATTTCGTCCCCAGTGGCCATATGGGACAGAAAATCATACTCTTCCTCATGGTATCGTTGGAAGTGACCCAGTGATACAACCATTCTTTGAGTCTTCTGTTCCTCCTCCATGAGTTGATGTGGAACCCACTGCGTGCAGATATTGCGGTACAGCAGGTGTTTTCTCACAATGGCGTGTATGGAACCGTGACTTATTTCCATCAAAAGACTAATTTCTTCCACAGTGATCGTCAGTTTGCCCAGATATGACCACCCAACGCAGCAATAACATCAGGAGTGATGACACGATGAGCCTGTCCTGGGTGAGAATCATCTTGCAGTGACACACGTCCCTCTTGGAATCTCTTATGCCACACCAGCACACGCGAACATGACATGCTGTGTTCTCTGTAAACAACAAACATGCGACGATGAAATTCTCGTCCTCCTATTCCTTCAGCAGTCAAAAAATGCACTACAATCCACTGTTCTTCTTTACCCAGCAGGTTTTCTCCAAATACTTCAGTTTCCCCTGCCAATCTTCATTCCACCAGTTGCTCCACAATCACCCTCACCTATCATCTGGGGCTGGTACAATAGGCCAGAAGTGGCCGCAGTACGAAGGACTTAGTCCCACCCCACTAGCCATAAAAAAATCAGGATTTTCATTCCCCTTTCCATAGGAAAATGTATATATTCGCCTGCTGGCGCGATGCCACATCAGTCCCATCTGACCTCCTATACTCCCGCTAAATCTAACTTATACTTTAAGACTTCTTCTGCCACTGCCCTATACATATTTATGACATTCCAAGTACCGAATGAATACTATGCTATAGGTTTGTTTATGTACAAACTTACGAGTTACCCAAGTTTGTGCTTCCCCAGTGGTACAGATACAGATTATATTATCAATATGTGTTAAGCCTTATGGGTGTCACAGATAAATAGCTTTTCCAGTCAATAGTGCAGTGGTTAGAGGATTAGATTAGGCTCACATATAAACACAGTTTTTAAACAAACTGTGATAACTAAGCAATTGAATTGAGCCCCTATTTTAGGGAAGATTGTTCCTTTAAATATTTAAAATCTTTAGTCAGTTTATATCCCATGTAGTTTTACAGATTCTGTTTACAAAAAACGAAACTGTTATTTTTAAAGTACTTTCACATAAGCCCATTCCACAAACAAAGTGCAGCTTTATAGAATTATAAAAGTATAGGCCTATGCTGAATGAAAATCAACACTAACAGAAAATTGTGTGTGTGTGTGTGTGCGCGCGCGCGCGCATGTATGTGTTTAATATGTGCTTGAAAGTTGTGTTTTACTGGACAAATTAATTGAAACACGAAGAAATTGAGGAATAGAATTTGTTTCTGTTGGATATACTGAAATAAAAACTTCAGTTGGCAGCACTGAATATTCGTCTTCCTTTTGTTTACACGCTGTAGTGCTTGTGTCAGTTTGTTAGTGATTGTGTTCAGTGACACTGCATGTGAAAGAATCTGAAAATCAGATTTTGAAAGAGGACAGATCGTTGGTGCGCGTTTAGCTGGAGCATCCATGACAAAATTTGACACATTATTAGATGTATCAACAGCGACAGTTTCGAAGGATATGTCGGCATATATGAATCATGGGAAGTCAACGTCAGCGAAGATGAGCAGTGGGTGAAAATCAACATTGACAGAAAAAGATTGTTGTACATTGCTAAGGATTGTTTCGAGAAAAAAAAACAATACTACTGCAACACAGATGAGAGAAAAACTGAATATTCATCTTGGAGCCTGTTTCCACAAAATCTACCTGGCGTGAGCTTTACAAATCCCACATCCATGGTAGGGCTGCGATTGCTGAACCTCTGATTACTTAAATGCATGAATTATGGTGTCATGACCATAAAACCCGGCCAACAGAAAACTGGAAACACGCGCATGATATGGTCAGATGACTAGTTCTTCAGGCTGTTCCCTACATCAGGAATAGTTTATGTTTGGAGAACACCCAAGGAAGCCAACAATCCGGAATGTCTAGTTTCAACAGTGAAATATTTGGGAGGTTCTGTGATGGTTTGGACAGCAGTGTTGTCCCCATTATTACCTTTCATGGCTGAATTACTGCAAGGGAGTACATGGGCAGGTTGGGTAAACAGGTGAATCCTGTAATTCCTACATTATTTCTGAATAATGATGCACATTTCCAAGATGACAATGTCCCCATTCACACAGCTGGCTAGAGCTTTTCAGTCATGGTTTCAAGAGCAAGAAGGTGAACTTCAGCGTCTTCTCTGGCCGGCACAATCACTAGATTTCAGCATTATTGAACAACTCTGGTCAGTTTTGGAGACTAGAGTGAGGAACAGATTCCCACCTCCAACATCGCTAAAGCAACTTGAAGATGTTCTTCAAGAATAACAGCATAAAATTCAAATAGAGATTGTTCAAACTTATACAAGTCCATTCCAAGAAGGCAAAAGGTGGTCCAACACCATATGTAGGCACCGTTTGTAGTGTTTCCATCATTTTGTCCAACCCCTGTTCGTGCAGAAATGCATGTTGGTCTTCATGTAAAATGTCATTTTCATGCAATTTTAATCGAAATTTGTGTATGTCAGTAAAGTGCAGTAGCATTCTAGAATGTCAGATTTCATTAAAATCTGTTCATTCATTCATTCATTCATTCATTTATTCACATTCCATAAAATCCTTACATGGTTTAAACAACCGAACAGATATAGAAATCGTCAAGTAGTATGAACTCATCTTGCATATAATCAAGCAGTTGTCAATATTTGCAATATAAAACAATTTGAAAAGTTTACACAGTATCACAGTAATCAATATACAATATAAAATAATGGTGATAAGTAATATGGATAATAATATTGACAACTAATCAGATAAGAAGTATTATTACAGATAAAATGAAGTTACTTGGTCAGTTTCACATCATTCTTTCCATAAAATCCTTACACAGTTACACAACCAACAGATATAGAAATCGTCCAGTAGTATAAACTCATCTTGCTTATAAATCAAGCAGTTGTCAATATGTTNAAGCCGTTCTTGAGTTGTTTTGTGCATACAGGTAGACAGATTAGCTGAGCAGATTTAATAGATGCTCCACAGGGTTTTAAGTGTGTCTGAAAGTGAACCATAGATGTATTTTCCTCTTCTGTTCCTCTCACACACATGACAGAAAATTTTACAACCATCCACAATCTCCATATACGCTGTACAATTATATAACTATTTATGTTCATTTCAGATGTTGCTGTATTGTTTTTCAGGGAATGGCCCATCTGGCATAGCACTTTCATACCTTCTAGCAGGAAACTGGCCCTATTATAATGGAGCAGTTCACCCTGATGAAATGTTAACAACACGACTTGCAAGTGCCCCTCCTGGACGTTCAATCATACAACAGGATCTTCGATTCCTCTCACAGGTATGTACTTTATCTCACATTCTCTAAAATATTTTTTGTCAACACCAGGTTCTTCTGCTCTGAAACTGCAGCAGTTAACTTTCGTTGAATTCATATTTCAATTCTGTTGCCAAGTGTGGTAGAACATAATACATTGGAGCCCCCATTTGATGTTCCTCTGTTTAAGGTTTTCCCTCATTTAATATTCAGTTTCAATGATCCCAGGTCAGTAATGTCAGTGTTAAATTTCATCCACTTAAGAGTATCTTACTCTAAGACTTGGTCCAACATTGAACTGGAATATAATTTTTAAAATGTTAGACTGACTTTAACAGTTCAGTTCGCTTATTTGCGCATATGCCATGTCACCAAACCAAGTTGCAGTTTATTATTATCGTTTTAGACCATTTTTCTTAAGGAAAAAGGTAAGCTTATGACATTGAGGCTGCACCATAGCTCAAGTGGTTAGTCACTGGCTTCCCATCGTGGCGGCCCGGGTTCGATCCCGGGTCTGGTCAAGTGGGATTTGTGGTGGACAAAGTGGCACTGGGGCAGGTTTTCTCCACGTACTTCGGTTTCCCCTGCCAATCTTAATTCCACCAATTGCTCCACAATCACCCTCACCTATCATCTGGGGCTGGTACAATAGGCCAGAAGTGGCCGCAGTACAAGGGACTTAGTGCCAACCCACTAGAAAAAAAAAAAGCTTATGATATTACCATGGTGTGTGTATGTTTTGTATGTCCTTTCAAACTTTTGAACCGATTCGTCTCTTTCCCCTGAAGTGATATTAATATTATCCCACTGGAAGTAGCCCAGACATTATACCTCTAATTTTCAACAACTGGTAATAACAACGCTATCAACCCTTGGTACTGGGTCCCCAAATTACTTGTGATGTTACCAACAGATATTTAAAAAATATGAAAATTTCATTAAAATAAGTTTTCTTATGATGGCAGTTGCATAAAATCTGTATTGTCACGTGATAGAGTGACTGTAGATGGAGTTTTGATTGGTAATTAGAGTTATTTAACATTTACAGATCGTAACTACAAGTAACTATAGCGCTGTCACTAATTCAAACACTCTGCAGTTCATTAGAGCACGTACTAAGTCTTCTCAGTCTGCTGGGTCTTCAGCAGTCATTGCCTGGTGACAGATTCAGCAGTGTCCTCTGCTTCTGTGCTCACATTCTTACTGGCTGGCGACTGGCCCAGAACTAACTCATTGCCTCCTTATAAACACCCCGGGACAGAACGCACAGAAAATGCCGTTTATCTGATGTTCAGTTGTTGCTTAGCGACCTTGCGGAAAACACCATTTCTCTATTGTTGTTTGCGGGCCGCTGCTTAGCAACAGCCGCCATACCGTCGCCTATCTCATGGCCATCACCCAGCAATGCGTTACCTGACCCTTTTGGTTTGACTAGTTAGTGAACCACTGGAGTCAGGCGTGCAAAATTTGGTATGGAGATAGTTCATCTACATACGTATGAACTATGTTTGAAATAATCATCATAAGTCAGCAATCAAACTCTGAACCACACCGTAATATACAAAATACTGGACTCGCTCCAGCAGTTCTCCCGATATTGGTAAAGAGCCTTCAAGTGAACTTGTCTCTGAGTGTCAGCATAACAGTAAAATGAAACTGAGCAGCAGTGGATTGAAGTAATCTTGCCTTTCATTGCATAGTTATTTTGTGCGTTCGTGCGTGCGTGTTGATGCTTCACTTCAGTATACCTGTAATAGGAGACAAATAACGACATAAAGAATTAACACTGATAGCAGAACCCAGAGGCTGAATACTGCTAGTACCAGAGCTCATCATTGCACACAGTTGTGAGCAATTCCATCCACTTCCCCTCATCACAACCTACATCCTAAAGATCTATCTTGATATTATCCTACTATATTTTCTCACTCTTCCACCACCAAAATTCTGTATATGGCTTCCCCACATAGCAACCCATTAAAAGAATCTCATGTCTCTGAACCACAAGTTACCAGTTGTCGTTATATATCTGAAATACCACATCCAAGTTACCTATCCTAATTACCAGTTGGATATAAATCCCTTCTTAATGTCTCCCTAACAAAAATGTGAGTTATGTGCCTCTTACACTAAAATGTCCATTCACTCCAGCTTCAAGTAAATATTAATAGTCAGTTACATGATGCAGAATCCTTGATGAGAAGCAATTAATCACTCAGCTGCTCAAGAAGTTCCCAGGGTTTTGTGCTACTCATAGGCTCATTAATATGTTCACAAGTGTCACCACTGGCCACTGTCCTGAGCTAAATGAATCCAAATTTCAGTATTATCCTCCCATCTGTGCATGCTGTCACTTCAGGTTTTCTGACCAAAATTTTGTATGTGTTTCTGATGATTTCCAAGTAAACCATAGTAGTTTCCATCATTAATGGCCTGTGATTGCGCGAAGAGAGAAGGAAAAGATAGAACCTTTCAGATGAGGAGTCTTACTGCATTGGTGATGATCAGCTTCACGATTTCATCTCTGAGGAAGCCTTTTGTGGAATCTCTAAATTTTTCCCATGCCAGAATGGTTATGTGGCATGTTGCCTTGTATGTTTGCTTCTTAATATCAGCAATTTTAAATGTATTTTTCTCTGTTATGTAACCTTTCATTTGTATCCATTTCAGTCGTGTAGAGTTATACTGGCAGTGATAAGGTGATAAACGTAGGACTTGATGACCCTGTTCCTGAACTGTGGTTTTAAGTTCATAATTTTGTACCACTTCTTTTCTTTCCAACAGTTCCAGTAACTCTGCTCATTTTTGTATGGCAGAATGATGTATATTCTCACTGCACAATCATGCTACAGTTTCACTGTTCATTGTCTAGGTAGATGAAACCTTTTACAAGGCAGTGGAATGGTAACTTGCATTGCCCATAACAGTAACTGATTTTGACTTCAAGTATTGTAAGAATTTGTTAAGAAACCATTCCCTGAATGTTTCTGTGTAGGTATTCTCCACACAGGTTAGGTCTGAGGTCAAGGTCAAAGTCACATTGTGACTGACGGTCAGTCATGACCAGATATTTATTACTATTTAACAGTTACGGTCTTGTTTTTGTGGGGCACCCTGTCTTATGAGAGGAAGGGGGGGTCTCTTTTGTATATGCTGCTGGCTCATGCCAGTGCAGTCTTTGTCGGGCTCAAGTCCCATGGGACCTGTGACCTTATTTTACTGTCTCAGATTTGATAAAATCCCCTTTTCGTTGCTTCCTACAACTTGTAGGGCCTCGGTGGAGGTATTCGAACCTGCCTCCACACGGGTTTAGGTCTAGGTCTATGAAGTCCAAGTCACATTGCAACTGATGGTCAGTCAGTCAGTCAGTCAGTCAGTCAGTCAGTCAGTCAGTCAGTCAGTCAGTCAGTCAGTCAGTATGTCTTGTTTCAAGCCCCATCTGGGGTTCATGACCAGATATTTATTACTGTTTGGCATTTACGGTCTTGTTTTCGTGGGGCACCCTCTCTGATGAGAGGATGGGTCTGCCTTTTGTATATGCTGCTGGCCCTTGCCAGCATAGTTTTTCTCGGGTCTGAGTCCCTTGGAACTCGAGACCATATTTTACTGTCTCAGGTTTTAGACTTCCCTTTTCGTCGCCTCTTACAACTCACAGGGTGGAGGTATTCGACCCCGCCTCCACACAGGAATCGTGTGTGTCAGGTCTATGAAACCTAGATTTTTCTCGCTATATAGCCCTGCCGCAGGCCGCACAGAAAACTCTGCGTCCAACAGTTCTGTTGTTGTTTGTGTATCTGTTGCTGTGATACTTCCTGGTTTTTCTGTTCCTATGCAACAGTTAATATAACATGTCCCAATATTTATATTTTTAGGTTACAGATAGACTGAATAATCCAAGTTGAATGATAGTGATCATTACCTGACTTTAATGTGCTCATAAATTCTCATGAATGCATTTATGATTATTTGTTGTCATTCTGAAATATTTGAGCTTCTCCACATTTTTTAAGAATTTGTCAACTGTCTTCATATTATATATTACATGATTATATGTTGTATGTTTATATAGTGTTAAAAAGGTATTGAACCTTATATATGTTCAACCATTGAGCTTAACAGTGTTTTTATTGATTAATTTAAAATCAACACTATATGTTTTGTCCCTTAAAGGTTCATCTTCAGGTGTTTGTTAAATACACAATATAATTATTGACTTTGTAACATGTGACCTTATATATCTGCTACCTTCTTATTTTGTGTTTAGTAAGCAGACTCTTAGTTAACAACCACCTAATGTAACTTTTTTTTTATTTAATTTGTAGCATATTTTCAATCTACTCTCAATAATATGCAGTAATAAATAAATCTGTTCTAACTAGGTGCCTTTAGTAGAGAAGTCTTCCACTGATGATACTCTGACAGACCCTGTAGAGGAATGGCGATGGTTTTAATTTTCGTCATCTGAGGGTTGTCGTTGTCTCCTCCATCTTCTTCTTGCATTTCATAGGTTGCTAATTTCTAGTCTGTTACTGTATCAGAATATACTTTGATAGTAGAGTGTTGACAATCTATGTACAAGGTGACACAGAAAAACGGGAACTTTTGAGGTGCGTAGTGGCAGCCATGTACAGTTGGCAGCACTACGGAATGGGGACTGTGAGCTGTAAACAATCACGCCATACAGTAATAATGGAGGAGTGGAACGGTAGACAGAGTGCTTTCGCGATAAAAATGTTTTACAAAACCGACGATAGTTTGGAAGGTGCGCAGAGGGAGTTCCATCGCTATTTCAAATTAGGGCGTCATGGTCGCGTTCCTTCAAAACACACGATAAAAACTTGGGTTCAAAACTTTGAAGAGACTGGATCTGCTCTGAAAAAGAAACCGACAGGACGACAGGACGTTTTAGTCTTACAGAGCCCACGGCGTTCAGTTCGTAAGCAAGCAGCTGCGGTCAGAGTGTCCCGAGAGAGTGTTCGCCGAATTCTCCGTTTTGATTTAAATTTTCATCCATACAAGCTGCAAATTGTGCAACAGCTGAAGGAGAGCGATCACCAGTTGCGATTACAATTCTGTCAGCAATTATGACAAAGATAAACGAGGACAATGAATTTCTGGACAAGCTGTGGATGTCAGATGAGGCCCATTTCCATCTTACGGGTTATGTGAACAAGCACAACTATCATTACTGGGCAGACAGAAACCCTAAACTAGTTCATGAACGTCCTTTTCACGCCAGCAAGGTCACAGTATGGTGTGCAGTTTCGTCACACGGGGTCATCGGACCTTACTTTTTCGAAAATGAAGACCGGATCACAGTGACTGTCACTTCGGATCGGTATGTTGAGATGTAGCAAACTTTTGTTGCACCTGCATTGAAAAATTTCCCACAACTTCACGAAACCTGGTTTCAGCAGGATGGTGCGATGTCGCACACTGCAAGGCAATCAATTACAGCTGTGCGAGAATTGTTTGGTAATCGTGTAATCTCAAGATTTGGTGACATTCCTTGGCCCCCAAGATCACCGGATTTATCAGTTTGTGATTTTTTCTTGTGGGGCTACCACAAGAGTCGGGTCTACACGACTCGGCCAAAGACACTTAATGAATTGAAACAAAGAATTGAAGAAGAAATTCGTGGTATCCCAGCTGAGATGTTGCAGCGATCAGTGGGGAACCTGAACAACAGATATACAGAATGTATACGTAGACATAATGTCAGTTATGTTTAAAATCTCTGTTAATATACACTCGTCAATTTTATTTTGAAAAATTTAAAGATTTCTAAATTTAAATCACAAGGATACCTGCTCTATGTCTACATGTGCTGCAGCTGCTACTTCTCGCTTTCAGCACCGTTCACGTATTATTCTGTGCAGGTTCCCTGTGTGCGTGCCGCTGTATTGCAAACGTATTAAAGTTAAACAGCGACACACAGGAAACCTGCACAGAATAATATGTGAATGGTGCCGAAAGCAAGAAGTAGCCACTGCAGCACATGTAGACATAGAGCAGGTATCCCTGTGATTTAAATTTAAAAATTTTTAAATTACATGCAGTGTGACAGCTACGTAAGTGAAATACACCTGATTATGGCCGATTACGGCTGAAACATGTAGTGTAAAAGAAGAAACACAAAGAACTACAATAAATTGTTGCATTTACAACGGTATTTATATTATACATATAGAAGTGGATAGTAAAGTTGGAGACATACCAAAGTGCTTTAGTTGCTGAGCTCAAGAATTTGGATTGAAGTCTTTGAATTGTTTTCATGTTTGCTGGTTTTGTACAGCCCCATAGCTGTATACCATATGTCCATATGGGTTTCATTATGCACTCATATAGCTATCCATGGATAGTTTGGATTTACAGCCCAAATTTGGGAAATTTCTTGTAGTTTTAAGTTTAACTTCTTATGCTTTGTTTTGTTGTGTTTCTGCTATGTCAGTTTTGGGTCAAGGTATAATCCCAAGTATTTTACTTCAGTTTGAACCGGTATTTGCATAAAATTGATGGTAACCTGAGGGCAAGTTATAGGTTTCGTGATGAATGTAACTTGCACTGACTTTATCTGATTTATTTTGATTTTCCATTTGCTGTACCATCGCTAGAGGAGGTTTAAGTGATGTTGAAGATGTTGTGATGCTACTACTGGATTTTTATTTGCAGTTATCAGGGCTGTGTCATCCGCGAAAGTTGCAGTTGTAGTGTTGTTTGTTGTGGGCAAGTCAGCAGTATAGAGTAAGTATAGTAGAGGTCCCGTCACGCTTCCTTGCAGTACACTTGATTTTACCTGGTAGCATTCTGGATATGAATTATTATATTTTATTTGAAAATATTTTTCAGTGATGTATGACTTAAGCAGTCCAGTGTTCCAGACCTTGTCAAATGCCTGAGCTAAGTCAAGGAAAACTGCTGTTTTTTCTTCGAGACTTCTTGCGATCTTGTTTACGATTCTATGCATTTGTTGTATTGTGGAGTGTCCTTCCCTGAATCCAAACTGGTAATCAGGAATAACAGTTGACAGGTCTAGGTCATTTCTAATTCTCTTCAACAGTAACTTTTTTAGAAGCTTCGATGTGATGGGCAGCACACTAATCGGCCAATATGAATGTACTCCATTGGCTGGTTTCCTGAGTTTAGGTATCACTATGATCTGGACGACTTCCCACATTATCGTGTAGTACGACATTCTGAGCCTGCTGTTACAGGTGGTTGTTAGCAATACTATTGCTTTTCTTGGTACTTGTCTGAGTATTTTTCTTGTGATAAGGTCATAACCGGGTGCTTTGTGTAGATTTATGTTCTCAATTTCTTGTACTACTTCTCTAGATGAGAAGGGTACGATAGGTAATGGATAGGTAATGTCATCAAATGCAACATATTAAGTAAAATAGATAACCTAATGATATATAATCATACCTTATATCTAGTGTTCATGGAGAGGCCATGAATAGGCATTAAGATTTTCAGACTAGATACATACTACAAAATTCACCTGCCACATATCACCTTCTTATTGTCATATTTGATGATGATATCATCACTGCCATTCCAATAGCAAGTACTGTTGTTGTTGTCACCGCCACCGCTGCTGTAATTTCCCCGCAATACTGATGATGAAAAAATGGGCACAAATGTGCTTGAATTAATAGTCTGCTGTAGTCAGCCAGTGATTTTGTTCCCTGCCTGCCCTCCCTCTACATAGATTCAGAGTATTCTCTTCGTCTTACTCTCACTATATTTAGATTCATGTTTTCGTGTTGCACAGGGGCTTGAGGGACGTTCAAACAATCCAGTTTCTTTGCTTATGGACACACTAAATCACCCATGTGCTGACTTGGGATTGGAATTGCCATCTTTGTTGGAATGGCACCATCATCCGGAATGTCAGGTGGATCACATTGTGATAGGAAAAGGACCACCTGGTGGATCATGGCAGGTAATGTTATTTATGTTACTCTTAAAGAAGGTGGTCGATTACAAATCACATACAGGTATCCTTTGATTCAAAAAATATATTTGCATTTCTTTATATGTAAAAGTTATTGACATGTTCATGAGTCCCAGAAAAATACTCCAACGTTTTTTAACATATGTTCTAATAGTATATGAGCATTAAAATGAGGACAGTATTACTTGTATAACATATTTATTGTTGCAAATAAAGCTGCATTATTTTATTTGTGTATATTTTCTTGTAGTTAATTCAGTGAATTATGTATCTTCATTATCATATGAATAAATCCTCTCAAACTTCACGGCTGAAAAGAAAACTAATAATAGACTGCGTGTCGGCATGGTAGCAGCAACAGTAGATGATATAAATGTACTGGCAAGTGAACTGACTGCAGAAGTGATAAGTTGTGTTCTAGAAGGTGAATAGTTATTCAACAGTTATGATAAGTGCAGTGCACAAAATTAGTATTATAGAGAAAAACATGTGTCTAACAACTACGTAGGTCAGTCAAAAGTTCCCGGAATTCCCCTGCAGATGGAGAACAAGCAATAAGATAGTGCACACACTGTTGTGGTGGGAAGGTCAGCATGTCTGCTCGCAGGCGCAACAGGTCTGGACAGGTTTCAGTGTGCAGTGTCGTTACTGTTCCGTTTGAATTAGACGTGAGTGTTGGTCATTCGGCGCAATGTCGAAGTTCGAACAGCATGCGAGAATCAAGTTCATGTGCAAATTGGGAAAATCTGCCTCAGAGACACTATTGGCCCTGCAGCAAGTTTACGGTGATACTGCACTAAAGAAATCATTCTCCCAATTTAAGAATGGGCAGGAGACGTTAGGGGATGACCAGCACAGCGGGAGACCTTTGACATCCAGAACTGAAGAAATGATTGGAAAGTGCGACGACTGATTCAATGTGATTGAAGAATGACCATCGCTGAGTTGGAGCAAGAAGTTGGTACTGTTAGTGGCCATTTCTACGTGCAAGTTTTGCAGAGGTTGAGCAATGCGGTTTGGAGGAAGCAGTGCAACAAGTGGCAGGGACAGCAGTTTCTGCATCATGATAACACACCAAGCCACACATCACTTGTTGTGCAGCAATTCCTCACTGAGAAAAACATTCCTGTCATCACTCAACCACCGTACTTTCCGGATCTTGCTCTGAGTGACTTTTGGTTGTTCCCTACTCTGAAAATGGACTTCAAGGGACAGGTTTCCCAACCATGGAGGATATCAATTCAAATGCGACGGTACAGCTCTGGAAGATTCCAAAAGAAGACTTCCACCACTGCTTCCAACAATGGCAGGATCGATGGAGCAAGTGTGTGTGCACAAGGGTCCCACTTTGAAGGTGATCAGGTAAGCATTGCCATATGTCCTACCATTAGAGTGCTGTACCACCATTCCGGGAACTTTTTGACTGCCCCTCGTATTATAATTATCCCACCTACCCACGTGTCGTGCATGTATTTCTTCACTTTCACAGAACGTGTCTAATGAATTTAACATGTTCATTGCAGCATGAATGAAGATCATTAAGTGAAAAGTACGTACAAATTAACATGCTTCTTTGTGGTGAAAATTTTTAAATTAAGTGTTTGTAATGTGAATGATATTTGTATTTATGACTTATTAAATGTCCCTTATTAAAGTTAAGTTACAAAATATGATTCCCTGGAAAATTAAAGAATCAGAAGTAGACGGATCAAGGTAATAAAACTGCTTGATAAAGTAAATCACACAGATGTATAGATTATGTACACGAACTTTGACATAGCACGGCATGTGGTGTAGCCCAATTCCACTTTGGACCTCGCTGTTTCCATTTCATTTTTAACCTTTTAGTTGATCTGAAGACCAAAACCTTGACATGATAATGACAACAATGATGATGACGATGATCACAGATTATTTTGATAATTCTGCATAAACTGCAGAGATTGTCTCTGGTGAGCCAGTGTTAAGCATAGATTATGTGGTATGAGTTTTATTTCTAATAGCACCACTCATGCACTGGAATGTTTCTTATTCTACAGAAGAGCTTATGTCAAATTATTGGGTATTTTTTATAAAAGGTTTTTTAATCATGTTTCGCTTTTGTAGTCTTTTGTACTGTCTCCTTTGTAAGCACTTATATTTTGTTATACTACATTCGGTACTTACTTTGTCTTTTATGTACTGGGTATATATCATTGTTTAATGTTTCTTTTGCTGAAGTTGCATTGTGCAGTGTACATCTGCTGACATGGTTTATATTCATCCTTCAATGGATGAATGTTTGATTAATGAAATATAAAGCCGGAAGATAGCAGGTTCAAGTCCCAATGAGGTCATTGGATTTTTTTTTCAATTGACATAATCCTTCCAGCCACACTATGGCCCTGGGGTTGACTCAGCCTTCAACAGAAATGAATACCAGGAATATTCTTGGAATATTCTTGGGGGTAAAGGGCAGCTGACGCGTAAGGCTGACAACCTTACCGCCATCTATGAGCCGATTGTCTAGAAAATATGGGAACCTCAACATTTTGCGACCCAATGGGCCTCCACAGCCTGTTACACAGATGCCTTACTTACTTTTATCTCTGTGTGCTTGCGTGTGTGTAATTAACATTTATTCTGTAAAATGATTGTGTATGAATTTCATAGTTTGCTGATTTTCACGAATATTTTAATTTTTCTCTAATATCAATGTATTTGTTCTTTAAAATTAGCATTGCCTTATTCATATTTATTTTTAAATTAGACATCCAAATTATTTTATTGTAAGACACCCTGCCAGGTACAATTTATGTTGTTTGAATTTTAAAATTGTCAGGCATTGTCATACACTGTAATATAACCCAAAATTCCATACGCAAGACTGAGTGTAACAGAGGACCACCTTTAAGTCCAGTGAATATATAATATGCCATAACATTGAATTTCTCTTTCTTGTCTTTAAATTTTATAATTTCCACAGTTAGTCCAACATCTGAGCAGAATGTGATTTCTCAAATGTTGGACTGAATTTGACTTAGTATCCCTCTAGGAATTTATGTCCTTCACTTGTGGCACACTAAGAAGTCCAGCTTCACTTTAAGCAATTGATGTGTTCAGTTCAATATTGGACTAGAACACAATTTCCAGAATGTCTCAGTTGAACAAAAAACCTAGAGAAGTTGTAGATAATGATGATTATTTTAAATTTGTAATACAGTGAATTTTGTAGGCAATGGATGGAAATGTTTTGACAATTAGTCTGGGAAGTTGGATGGAACTACCTGGCATAGAATTTAGAGCATGGGAAGCTGCCGAGAATGCTGGAGTGATCAGTTATCGTGACAGTCGTGCATCTGTTTCTTCAGTGGCACGTTACTACTATGATTATGTGCACAAACAGAGTCTTGCCAGATTTTTCCAGAGTGGTTGTGTTGTAACATCTGTGCGCCCTTTGGATACTTCACGCTCCCAGGTATGTCTCATATGCATACAGAATGATCAAGAAATGACAGAAGTTATACTGTCAAGCACAACTGACACTGCTGACAGGTGACTCATGGTCATTGCAGTCAACACTGTGTTAACTGTTTCAGTGTTATTGCGCATATGTATATGTACATTCTGCAGACTGTCCTTTTGTGTGAAAAGCAATAGATATGGCTTATATGGCTTTTGGATTACTATGTATGTATAAATATTACCTTTAAATGAAATAAATGCATACATTTTAAAACTTTTGATACAGCTACATGTATTTAAGTGGTTCTTAATAAAAAGAAAATATGCCTTGATCCATTAAATCTTAAATAACACTTACATGTGTAAAAGACACATGCACACACATACATGGTCTTATTATCACATGCTGTATTTTACTGGATAGTTTCTGGAGATTAAAATAAGTAAAAATGAGTTCATATAAATATATACCCCAAGGGCCTTTCATTAATTTTTTAATTAATAATTAACCCTTTGGCGCGGTCATTTAAATTCCGCGGCCGCGTCTCCGGCGGTAATATATTCAGCCGGCCATTTAAATTTTGCTCGAAAATGATTTATTCATCATTGTTCTTAAATTCTATGAGATAGGAACANAAACACGTCATTCATAACAGAAACCGCTCGCAATAGCCACAGGAACGTTGCTGCAAGACAGGCATATGTAACGACGACTTAGCGCTCTTAAACGCGTGTGTCATTAAATACAGTCCTCCTGACAACAGGCCAGTGAAAAATCTAACAATCTACAGCAAAACCATCAATTATTATGGGCGTTTTAACATACGTGTGCAGCTGGACGAAACATACACGTCGAACCCCCCCAGACGATTTAAATACCTGACGAAACATACACGTCAAACCATGGCAACGGGTTAAAGGTATTCTAATTTTAACTCCCAAGGTCATACATTAAATACTTCCTAAATTTAATGGGCTGTGTACAAGAAGAAGAAAAACAGATGGGCATGCTGGCCAGGAGAGTGGAACTTTACATCTGTGATCAATCCAGTGTCCAGGATAATTTTCAGACAGCCATTGACATGCTTTACAACTGTAATGTAGTGGAGCATTGTTAGATTGAAACCACATGTGAAAATGTATATGAAGGACATGTCTTCCAGTAGTCCACTTAGCAGGTTCAAAGAGTGGTAAGGTAATTGTAGCCTCTGACCCATGCTGGTAAAATGCGAGGGCCTATGTGGTGTCAAACAGATCTCTGCAATCACAGGTAAGAAACAGAATGCTCTCAGAGCATCTGTTTCTCAGAATGTGATGGCAAGAGTTGACATTTTCTAATGTTACTCTTAACTGCAGATAATGACATCACTTTTATTATCCTTCATGATCTACTAATGGCTACAGCACATTCCAAGACTTCTGGTTGGCTGTATGTTTACATATTCGTTGCTTGGTTATGGCCTCCAATAACTGGATTATCTCTACTGTTTCCATGTTCAACAGCTCCTGTCCTCAGTGTTTTCCACTCTTGATCTTGCTGGCTCATCTTATATAGCCCCATGGCAGACTGCATATTCATTGTCATAGAACATGTTTTAACAAGGCATTGTATAGCAGTGGACACCTCTGCAACACTTCTCTGACTGCAATATTCTGACATTTAGGTGTCTTGTCACAGTATGAACATTTTTACTACTTTGTCCTGAAACCATCCTATAAAATACGGCATGTAAGAATGAAACACTTGTGTCCAGCTCTCTCCAGCTGTGTTAATTTATTCTGTTTAATGTTCTCTCCTCCATTACTAGACTAATCGTCTGTGAACAGCTGACATGCAGTTTTGTTTCCTCATTTATATCTTAAGTGTGTCCATTTGAACTTTCAACTTCTTGTGCAAATTTAAGTAGTTAAATATATATAGACTCCTATTAATAATGTTATATTTTAGCGTCCTGCACTAACAGGAGCAAAACACAATACACAAATGTATGTAGGAAGAATGCTCACATAAAAGAGGATTGGCATAATTCGCATGCTTGAATGCAACATAAGATGAATCCTGAAAAGTTATAATATTTATAATTCATCGTCATGTATGACGAATACAGATTTTAGTCATTTTAGAATGAAGACATCATGGCTTGCAGTACAATAGTTTAACGTGCATAGAGACACCTGAAGATGGCACATTAGTGCTGAAACATGTAGTGTGGAAGTGAAGAGTAAGGTGAAAAAGTGTGTGCACTATAAGACGGTTAGCATAAACCTTGGATATGTAGACTCTGTATGTGTCATGCACACGCACATATGCATAATCATGTATATNTACATACACATACATACACACATATACATACAGAGCCAACCCAAGACAGTATAGGTTACTGTTAATATAATGTTCTTACAGTGTAAGTAGGCTGTTTCCATGGTACTACCAAACTAAATGAAACCCTTTTCATAAGCAGACATGTTTCTATGAAACAGATATATTTAAAGATTAAGAGATCAATGCTGCAGAGGAATATACTGCCTCTTTTATTAGGGTAGAAAGAACCTGAAGATGGAAGGAGCATATTCCTCTGAAATATTGGCTCTTACCTACCAGACTACACACTGTCACATCCCTGATGATAGTGACAACAAATCTCACAGCATATTATTACAAAAACATATGAGTGCATACACTAGGCCCTGGGGTTTACTCAGCCTCTAACAGAAATGAGTACCAGGAATTAATTAAATAATTTTCCTGGGGAGTAAAGCGCGGCCAGCGCATAGGGCTGACAACCTTACTGCCATCTGTGAGCTGATTGTCAAGGTAATGTGGGACCCTTAACGTCTCACAACCCTATGGACCTTCACGGCCTGTTACAGGGATAGCTTTACTTACTTTTTTACACATTTGTTTTCTCTGCACCACCACATTCACGACAGATTTTTGGCCCAGTACCAATAGTTACATGATCAGAGCATTACCCTTAATCTTGAAGAATGCTATCTTCTGGCATATCAGACCATGTAGTCAGTCGAGAGTCAACTGATGTTTCAGTGAAACATATCTCCTCCATCTTCAGGGTCAAAAAATAAACCAAGCATGAAACCATCATGAAAGTAGTTAGCAAGCAGGGCATTATATCCCAGAAGATAGTACTCTTCATAAACACCGCTGTGAGAACCTCAGATCCTACAACTTTAAACTTGTGTAAAGATCTAGAGTGTGTAGAGCATGGTTCTTAGGCACAGAGGTTACTTTCTGAATATGTGTATAATTGTCACGTGTTTAGTATTGATTTTACACATGGAAAATAAATTTCCATACATCTACAGGATCTTCAATTTACCAAGTACTGATGCATGAATTTTTTTTTTTTTTTACAGAACACAGAAACCATTGATCCAGAGACAGGAGTTCAGTACTCTGAGCCGCAAGCACTTTGGCAGGTGGAAGGATTTGATTTGTCAGACAGCATCCCCTTCTGTTATATTTGCCGCAAAGTTGTGTTAGCAACAGGCTCAACAGATGTCCCAAACAGGCTAGGCATACCTGGAGAATTGGCTAATCCTACATGGGTTCTTCATGACCTAAGGTCGCTGGAGGCAGCATTTGACAGACTGGTAGATGGGGAAGAGGGAGGCAGGGAAGGTACGTTACATGGATCCGCCACCCATGTTTGATTTACATTCTGGCTTTTTGGCATATGGTGACTCCTCTGGAATTGATACTAATTAAGTTCTGATGCAGTTTTGAAGAAGGGCACTGGAATTTATTTGCTCCCCAATATCAGCATGTGGTAAAATCTCAGTCTGATGTTCCTGCACTTAGTGTAATCCACATTTAATGAACTTTAAGGCAGCCGCACACCAAATGCATCAAGACATGAGACAAAAGATGCAGTCTTTCTTCATTCATGATTCATCAGCATCATGACTCAGACTGGTGTGCTGTGGTTTTCATAGTCTCATTCGTTTCAACTGCGCCTCTTTCTTTGCGCCATGTTACAGACGTTGTGCCTTGACTGTTACATTTCTTGATGCATGCCAGTGTGCAGCCTGCCTTACTGGTCCTAGTTGTAGCTCAGTATAAACCAATGTGTTATTTTCCTGTATTCAGGGAGTTTTGATTTAGTAAAGGAATTACATTAAGTGTAAAAAATTTTAGGCTTCCAGGACCTCACATGTTGATTTTTATGTCTATGGACAAAGTAACAATCTGCATTCATATTTGCTCTCTACCAGAAATCATTCTCACTTGACCACTTTATTTATTTTGCATCATTAATTATTTTTAATTAATTATACGTTATCCGTTATGTAATTATTTCTGTTTCTGTAGAAACCGTTTTTAATTACCTATGTAAAAAGTTATTGTCAGACCTCGACTTGGTGCAAGAAAAGACATTTCCCAAGATATGCTATTAAAAAGGAATTTCACTGTAGTATGTAACTTGTAACACAATATGCCATTGTGAATTACGTAACCCTGTAATGTCATATTTTATTACTGATTTTAGTATTCATTTTTAATCATATTGTCATGTGTATGAGTGTGACTATAGATGGGGTTTGGATTGGTAATTGGATTTACTGAACTTTTACAGGACGTAACTACAAATAACTATAGTGTAATTGCTAATTCACACACACTGCAGTTCACTACAATACTTAGGAAATCTCAGTCTGCTGTGTCTTCACTAGTTGCCTGCTAACGGCTTCCAATACAGTAGCTTCCTCAGCTTCCGTGTTCACGTCTTTACTGGCTGGCAACTTTCTCAGAACCCACTCACTGTTCAAACTGTCTAACTTCCAGGCTGGCAACCATTTCACACCAACCTCCTATTCTTCTCACTGCCATCTCAAGGCTCTCTTGTAAGCCAAAGTTAGAATCAAAGTCACATTGTGACTGACGGTCAGTCAGTCAGTCAGTTAGTCTTGGTGGGTAACCCCATCTTGGACTCATGACCAGATATTTATTACTGTTTGACAGTTACGGTCTTGTTTTTGTGGGGTGCCCTCTCTGATGAGAGGACAGGTCTGTCTTTTGTATATGCTGCTGGCTCTTGCCAGTGCAATCTTTCTCGGGTCTGAGTTCCTTGATACTCACGACTATGTTTTATTCATATTATATATTTTTATATTATTTTGCCAGTATTTGTTCCACCATGGTTGTGTGGTGATATAACTATACATTGCAATCTTCAATCCAATCCCACTTCTGACACTAGCTGTCACGTGTATGAGTATGACTGTAGATGGGGTTTGGGCTGGTAATTGGATTTATTAAACTCTTACAGAACATAACTACAAGTAACTGGCTGGTGACTGCCTCTCAACTCATTCATTGCTCCATCTGACTAACTCCCAGGCTGGTGGCCATCTCATACCATCCTCCTATTCTTCCTTATTGCCTTCTCAAGACACCCTCTCGTAATCACGTCTGCTTGTCATTATATAGCCTCGGCACAGACCACATAGAAAACATCTCTCCGAACAGTTCTGCTGTTGTGTCACGTAGCTATCGCACAGACCACATAGAGAACACCACATTTTACAAATATGTTGCCTAGCAACGGTAATGTTTGCAGAGCTGATCCCTATCAACGGCTTCACACTTCTTGCCTTGAGCAAGTATGCCACAATATAGTTAATAAATTAATTACCTTTCTGAAGTGTAAAGACAAATTAAATTTAAAGATGAAGACCAAGTTTTAACCAGTCTACTGTGGTACATTGCTGTAAACAGGAGAATGTAAATGATTTTTCTGATTTGTAAATATATTTTATGTAGGAGTGCCAACCGAACCTTGCTGTGATCCTGTTTTGATTGTGGGTGCGGGACTGAGTGCAGCTGATGCAGTAATAGCTGCCAGGTTCCGGTCACTGCCTATTTTGCATGTCTTTAGGAAGACGGCAGCACTTGGTACTGGAAGCACCCAGCTACCAGAAAACATGTATCCAGAATATCATAAGGTGAGTGCAAGCAGGGTTGGCTATGCATCTGATTATGGATTCTTTTCTGTCCAACCATATTATTGTCGAAAATGTATTTTATGTTTAAAATCTCTGTTAACTAGAAAGGGGGAGAAAATGAGGAGGGTGTCTATAAAGGAAATCTGAAAACTTTTTAAATTCTTGCAAATGACAGTGAAATGGAGGTGTAAGTATTTTTTATAAATATCATTTAGAACTTTCCCATCTATGTAAGAGAGATACTGGAGTTTTAGCTACCTTCACTTGTGTATTTGTCTGTTCATATCATATAGGGAGACATTTGAAGAAAGGACATAGTTTAACAAAGTTAATAGAAAGTCCATCGAGTGTAACAATTTGTAGGTCACTTTTTTATCACTTCTGCCTTACATGTTTCGGTTTGACACAACCATCATCAGAGGCACTTACTACAATTATGAAAACACTGTCGTTGTTTATGATGTTCACAGTTATGTTTGTTGTGTGGACGCTGCTACAATATGTTGACGTGTAAAAGCACAACACTTGCTAGGATAGTTGAGTACACTATCAAATTCTCACTTTTCATCCGAAACTGTTTTTAAGTTAAAACGCTAATGTTAAAATATTTAAAACATTTGATGTAAAATGCTAAGCTCCTCCTTGTTAATTCANCATTTTACATCAAATGTTTTAAATATTTTAACATTAGCGTTTTAACTTAAAAACAGTTTCGGATGAAAAGTGAGAATTTGATAGTGTACTCAACTATCCTAGCAAGTGTTGTGCTTTTACACGTCAACATATTGTAGCAGCGTCCACACAACAAACATAACTGTGAACATCATAAACAACGACAGTGTTTTCATAATTGTAGTAAGTGCCTCTGATGATGGTTGTGTCAAACCGAAACATGTAAGGCAGAAGTGATAAAAAAGTGACCTACAAATTGTTACACTCGACGGACTTTCTATTAACTTTGTGATTGATAGTGTAACGGACCAAAAATGAAACAATTAAAAAAAAGACATAGTTTAATTTTGTTACTTTGTTTGAAGACGTTTTATATTTTCTATAGGTCATGGATACATTTTTTAATTTTTATAATTTGTCTTATTTCTAGTACAATTGAAATGCATTTTCAAACAGTCGGAAGAGATATTAAAACTAAACTCTCGTCTTCTGGATTGTAAGAAACTAATGTATTCCTCTTTTTATTTTAACTTCTAGTAATTAAGAATTCTTCCTGGCTACACATACCAGATATATTAATGGTTTTATTGTTGACTCATTGTTATTGAAGAATCTCAACATATAAAATGCAGTATGTGTATATATCCCTTGTTACAGAAATACTTGGTCAGTTGAAATTATGTAGCACCATTTTCTGCACATGGATATAATGATTATACTGCTGTGGCCCAGTTTTATGAGCCTCATTAGTGGAAACAGTCTGCACCATATGAAGGCACTGAGCAGGCTTGCTCAAGCTATAATGTTTGGAAGATGCCCACTTCAGGTCTTCATCAGGACACCATCTATCTTAATGAAGCTTCTTGTAGTTTTCCCCAGTGAGCAAATGCTAGGCTAATTCTCAAATGAGGCCACGACTTCCTCCTTCCACATCCTTTCCAATTTATTACTCACTGTTATTCAGTCATTTGATGCTATATAGTCGAATTATTGACAACATTGTTGTATAAGTTACACAGTACAATACACATGAAGGTGAGATTGGTATTAAAGCAGAAGAGACTCATGAGTCACACCCAACCCCCTACCTGAAAGTTATGTGAGGAGATATTGTCTCTGATCCCATGATTATGTTGTTCAGGTGCATCAGATGATGGGCGATGGTGGAGCCAGTTACCCGTGCTACAGAGCTCTAGCAGAACACACAGTGCTGGAAATCTCATCAGATCATAAAGTGCGTGTGATTGGACCAGATAACACAGTCTCTGTGCACAGGGTATCAGTAGTAGCAATTCTCATAGGGTCACGCCCTGATTTGAATTTCCTACCTCCTGGGCTCAGTCTGGGTGTAAAGCCTTCAGAGCCAGTTGACTGTCGATCAAACCCCATTGCTGTAGACCCATACACTCACAGAGTTGTCAAGGCTCCACCAGGCATGTATGCTTTAGGGCCACTTGCTGGTGATAACTTTGTGAGATTTCTCCAGGGTGGTGCTGTTGCCATCACAAGCCACATTAATAAAGAATTGCGACACTACACAGTTCTGTGATCTGGCACTTTTGTGGCTTAACAATGATGATTTTTAAGGTCTATGTACTTCAGCAGTCCTCTCAAGGATTGGTTGTTTGGGATGGCAGAAAATATAAACAGATGTATTCTGTCCAGCCTTGTATTTATCATCTGACAAATTGTGTCCCATTTCTCCAGGAAACAAGGACAATAAATTAGTTTCTGGCTCTTCAGAAACCATCACTAGACATACGCACTTCAGTATCCAATCTGCTGAGTGGAGTTTCTTCTTTCTCACCAAGATTGCACTGTTCAAGTTACTAGTGCACAGTGCAACTTTCTTTTCACTGATATCAGCCTCGTTGTTGACATCATGTACTTACTATAGTGCCAGTCGTTAATTTCTGTTTTGTTTTTATGATGATGACAGTAACTATAAGTCAAGCATATGATCACCCTGTCTGGATGACATTGCTTTAAATTGGACTTAAAATTCAGCAATCCCTTTTTCATGGTGCTTGATGATGTGATATTTATCACTCCTTGTTATACAGTAAAATAGTAAGCACATGCTGCTAATTATTATGGCGAAATTAACTGTTAAAATCTTTGTGTGAGTTTAACACATAACTCTGTACCAGTCTGAGATGTTCAGTGAACATTAATGGAAGGGGAAATATTAGTGCATGTTTATTGGATGGTATATGTAGATTGTGATAAAATTAATTATTAAAGTTATGGTCTTCTACAATGTAACATCATGTAATTTGTTGTAGTAGCATTTTGGATGAATCTGCAGCTTCCATCATTATGGTAGAAGCAGAAGTTTGCAGGTTGCTCCAAAACATTGGTACCCATCTGCCAAAGTGTGTAGCATCAGATCCTAAAAGACCATAACTGTGAGACTCACTGCCTTGGAAACCTCAGCTCTAACAAATTTATTATTAAAATTTTTTATGAACTGAACACCGAATGAGCTGACATTATAGTATGTAAATTTACTAATATTAAAATATAATAATTCTGATATCATCTACTGGTAAATTTTGATGTACCATAAATGGCTCTTGACATTCGAAGCAGCATTGCAGATGTTGGCTGAAAGGAAGAAACAAATCTTAGATTAAAACTTCTGAAATCAAAGGCATATATAAATTGAACCAGTGTCAGCTTAAGGATTAATGTGGTAGTAATCACTTGAGTCTGTAACGCATCTTCCAGAATACCCCATTAAGTAGGCTCTAAAGTATGATTAAATTAAATTAATTAAAGCAGTTCATTATTTATTTTTTCCTTGGCACTACAGCCCCAGTGGACCTAGGCCTACCTCCATGAACTTCTCCGTTCACTTCGGTTTTTCTAGATCTTACAGATTCGGTAGAACTCCTTGGGCGGGTGATCAGCTCGTCGCAAGGCCTCTACCTGTACACAAACAGAAAAATGCACACACACAAACTAAACATCCATGCCCTGAGTGGATTCAAAACCACGATCCCGGTTTCCAAGCGAGCAAAGACAGTACAGGACTTAGACCATATCCAGCTAGTTCATTATTAGGAATGTTAAATAAATTGATTAAGGTTTAATATCCATTAATGCATTTAATGCAAAGTAAGAAAATTACAGGAGGCCAAAGGCTTGACATAATTATGTTCATCAGTATATTAAAATTACAAATTGTGAAACGGTGGTTAAAACAGTCTCTACCTAAGTATCAGAAACCACTCAACAGTCCAACTGAAAGTCATTTTTATTTATCAGATTACCAAATATTAAAATGATCAAAGGTGCCACACCAAAATAATGATTATATTTCTACTCCAAAACAGAAATCAGCACTGCATATCCCTTACAGTAACAAGAGAACAATAGTTACCAGAACAGTAATGCTGCATATAGTAGTAGACAAAAAGAAACTCCATGGCTTTAGTTGGCAAGCGAACTAAACCAACTTAGCGACTGCAGCATGTCGGCAAAGCTAGTGCCAACTTTAGCAGATATGGGGTGTTGTGTGGTCAGCACACCAAATCCCCATGGCTGTTAATTTTGGGTTCTAATGGACAACAGTAGAAAATTCAGAGTGTGGTAAGACATCAGCTGAAATCAATCTTGTGTAAAATACAAACTGCATCTCAAAATACTGTAGCGTGTTTGTATATTGAAGACGCTGTTCGGATTGGTAATTGGGGTCATCGTAGTTAACTCAAATACATGCAATACAGCGCTATAGCTGATTTATACACTTTCCAGTTCATCGTTGCACACGCACTATGATTCTCTGTCTTCCACTAGTTGTCCCCTAGCAATGGATCTCCACACAGAAACTGTCACTTCAGATCACTACAAATATTACACATGAAATCTTCCAGTCACACTTTATATCCTCACAAGGCAACCTTCTGTATTCCTGTTTCCACTTCACATGCTTCTGCCACTCTCAGATACTCCCGAATACTGACTCCTTAGTTATTCCAGTTTCTCCTATAAACCCTCAATTGGACAGGCAGAAAATGCAGCTTACTTCACTGTTGCATGATGTCACAGCCTACCATGGAAGGGGTGTTTACCACTGCATAGCAGCAGGCTTGGTAAGGGGGTGGGTGTGTGATGTCACTTGCAGAGATGCAGAGATCACTTGACCCCTACTCACTACTGCAGTATGCCATCATCGCGCCTGCATGGGAGTTGTGTTTACCGGCCAACACTTAGAAGTGGGTTGCATAACCTTGTTCCACATCCAGTCGCCCAACAAGGGGCTGACATGTCACAATACTTTTAACATTTGTGTTTGATATTTACTTTAACTAGGTAATGGTAAATCTGGTAGTCAATTATTTGCTACTTTGAAGAGTGGGTGGCTATTTCAGTTCCTAGCCATCCATTCGGTACGGAGAACAAATCTAATATTTCTTGTTCTCTGAGAGAACACTTCGCCTGCAACTGCTTTCGTCTCTGATCCATGTTGCACTGCCAACTTCCTGGTTCATACGTGGAAGCTTGGACTCAAACAAAATATTTCTTTCTTTAGGTTGTGACAGGAAATGAGCATGATCATGTTACTGGCTAAGCTAGCAAACATTCCTGAGGTCAACTACGCAGTAGTTATGATGCAACATGGCCACACAGCGAGATATAGTCTGTTGCGACATAACGCGTCAGAAAAGGGCCAATTGGCCCACCCGGTCCGCAACGCTATAGAAATGTAGAGGGCCAATTGGCCCCTCTGGTCCTGAATGTGTTAAATTTGTGTTCAAACCCCATGTATAAACTTATCTCTAACAAAATATCAACTTTATTCAGTGTAAAGAGAAGAGCTGCAACATGTCAGCACACTGTTTAAAATGTTTCACTATTATTTGAACAGTTTCACTAAACAGACCACAAACATCAGGCCCCACACAACTAATGAATGAAATTCACAAATCTTGTAAAAATCCCACCTCTTTATCCCTTTGATTTGTAGGAGTGTTTTGTCAGTATTTCAGAAAATTCATGATAATTTTCTTATCATTAGTAAAACAAAAGATTCTGGGCAGAACTAATTGCCTACTTTCCTTGATATGACACAGACTGCATGGAAGACAGTGTGTTCAATAATTCTTCTGTTGTTTTGTGTGTATTGGTTGCCTCAGTAACGTTTTTACCAAGCCATTGCCTAGCAGTGATAGGGGGATGCACATACAGACCCACAGACTGATAGGAGGGATTTATGAAGAATGCAGTTGAGACTGACTCAGATGACATGATATACATAGTAAATCTCATAAAGATTGTTTCTGCCATTCAAAAGTTAATAGATAGGAAAACAGACAACATGATCATCACATAAGGCTACTTTTATTTCTTTGAACTAAGGAAAGTAGACCAAAAAGCAGTACCTACTTAATAGAATTTGTGTTATGAAAGTTAATTGTGTCCTGTGATATGTTTGATTCCTTCACATTGCTCTTCATTCCATTAAACAAAACAGGTTAGAAAGAATGAAATGAATTGCATATTATAATGGTCAACATAAAGGTGTTGATGATTTTAGGAGTAGCTAAAAAACTCTGCCTTAAAATGCACAAAGTTAGTAAGAATGACTAAATGAATAAGGGGTGGGCCACGCTGTACTGTACACCAAAACAATCTGCAATCTGTTTTGTGTCCCTTTTTGATGAGGAGTTTATAACATTGCCTGTAGTGGTTTTGGTTTGAAGCTCAACATAGCAAGTAGTGACAAATAACTTTATCACCAGCAAACATTCACTTTCCAGGATTTGAGGTTCTCACAGCAGTGGTTATGAAGAGTTAGCAACTGGTGCTTCACGTGCTCAAATTGCTTGATTTCTTGCAAATCTTGTCTATTCATTGCTCTGTTTCTACATTATAAGAACCTTCTTTATGTGAACCATGTTGTGGGAGTTTGTGCAAAATGAGTTTCAGTGAGAGGCTGTTAGTGAATTCTATTGTCATGTGTTAAAAGGCATTCGAAGAAACCTGAGTGGAGCCAGAAGTAGCCAAACAATTTAGTCTGAACAAGGCCTCTGTGAATGGTGTGTGCTAGTTGAGGTACATGTACATGTATATATATGCATGTGCGCATGTATAACCCACCATCAAACTTACTGATTACTTTAATACCTTTTAAGGAGCATGTAAATGTGGAGAACATTTTCTGTGACTTTTAACAGATGCCCTTAAGTTCCACAAAAAGGCTTGTATAAATACAAACTAACATTACTTGGTTTTGCAGATGCCGTGATACAGCAGTCTCACAAAGTCATTATCTGAACAACACACATTAAAGATTCCTAAAGGTCTAAGGGTCGTATCATGTTAATGCCCTAAATGACCAGCACATTAGCTCATAATTAGACTTCCAGGAATATGAAGATGGCTGTTTTCAACAGAAGTGTATTAGTGCAGTTAACAAATTTTGAAATGGTTATGCTTTTTACAGTCATATTATAAAGGCATAGAAATATGTGTAAAGTGCCAATTCTGTATGAGTAACCTGCTCTTTTTTTCCTGTTACTAATTTTCTGGGATGTGTCCTTCATGTGATGTTGTAAAACAGGAATGCAACATTTCGGAGATAGAACCGAAGAGTACCTACTCAGCTGGGTCTGATAGAAAGAGCTGATCCCAATCACAGCCACAGATTAGCTTTTTTAAATGTAATCACCTGAATAGGTACCTCTCACCTCAGGATTGGAGCAAATTCAGCTACTGAAATGTTATGTTCTTGATTTTAGAATACTGGATGATGGACAAAGCCCAGGGTACTAGTAATGCTACATGTAATACACCATCTCCAGAACCTTTCATATCTGGTTTACATGTTCTCACTTTTCCCCACCTGATGAGAAAATGGAAACTAGTTTCATACATTTAATGTATCAGTACACTGCTTGTAGAATAAGTTTAGTTTTTGTTTTGATATCTTTGCCAGATGTTGTAACTATCATTTCACTTTTAGTGAAGAAGAATATGTACTGTGTGTTAGCTGATGCCCACCCAACTCTAAAATTTGGATAGCAATATAAATGTATTATTTTTTTAACTTCCAAACCTCAACAGTATCCAAGATGTACATTTCTTTAAGGTATCTAGTACAGTTCCACCATTAATGTGCAGCATGACAAACAGTATAGTGGAACACTTTCATCTGACCGCATAGACTATACTTCTCTGCACAAGAGCACACTTCTGTCTACAATTATCTGCATGTTTCTGTGTCCTCTGGAACTGTTCCAGCCATAACCCAAAGCACACATTGTGTGCAGCAATAGTTTTCATCCTATAACAGTGAAAGGGTTATAGATATATGATTTCAGTCATTGTAGTGTGTGGGATCTGGTTATGGCTAACAAATTGGCATTTTAAACATTATATAATGACTTTTTTACACATATATTTCTGTCTCAGTTGCAACTTACTATCCAGTCACCCTTCTTCCTAACTGCATGTTTTGGTCACATACAGCCATCATCAGGTGTCATCTATCTTGCTGAAACTGTTGCACTGTATGTCAAAATTACGTATTGCCTATGAACGCGATATTTCTTAATTAATATTAAATTAACTTTGAGTTAAAATTAATTAGCATCTTAATCTATTTCGTTGTGGTCATTGTCCATTCATTTAAAGATATTTGCTTGAATATTTCTAAATTGGCATAATATGCAACAATATAAGCAAGTTGGACAACACATGATGTTGTGGCTGAAACATGTGGAACATGGTCCACTCAGCCTCATGAGGATAATTGAGGAGCTATTTCAAGGAAGTAGTG